ATGTGTATGTGAGTATGTATGTGCATATGTATGTGTATGTGTGTCTGTTTGTGTGCGCGTGTGTGTGTGTGTGTGTGCGCGCATGTGTGTGTGTGTGTGTGTGTGTGTGCGAGTGTGTGTGTGTGTGTGTGGGTGTGTGTGTGTGTGTGTGTGTTTGTGTGTGTGTGTGTGCGCGTGTGTGTGTGTGTGTGTCTGTGTGTGTGGGTGTGGGTCTGTGTCTCTCTCTCTGTCCGTCTGCATGTATGTGTGTATGCACTTTTGTATGTGTAATATATATATATATATATATATATATATATATATACATATAGATATACATATATGTATTATATATATGTATATATACATACACACATATATATATATCTATATAAATGGTTTATATATAACCACATGTGTATGCACATATGTATATGTTGCTAAACCCTCGTCTGACTTGTCGAGCACGAGTGACAAAAATATACATATACATTTCATTTCTTTGTCATATGGGCAAGTCTATATATATATATATGTATGTATGTATGTATGCTATGATATGATATGTTAGGATTTGGTGTGATATGTTTTGATATACACACACCCATGTGTTATCGGGTTTGTTCGGGGGTCGTCCAAACAGCTGGTCAGGAAAGTTATGCTTTCGAGCATAGTTGTGGCTCTCAAAAGAGGCCTTACAGAATTGCAGCCTGCGCGAAGCTTGCTTGGCCAGCGTCCCCAAGCCTCAACCGATGATGTGCGACCTCAAAACACCACCGTCGCCGCCGGCGCAGCAGTAGCAGCAGCAAAAGCATTGGAGAAATAGGTAGACAGAGGGGGATAGATAGAAGGACGGACGGATAGATGGTTACATAGATAGACAGATAGATAGGACTGATGATGTGCGACCTCAAAACACCACCGCCGCCGGCGGCGCAGCAGTAGCAGCAGCAAAAGCATTGGAGAAATGGGTAGACAGAGGGGGATAGATAGAAGGACGGACGGATAGATCGTTACATAGACAGACAGAGAGATAGGACTGATGATGTGCGACCTCAAAACACCACCGCCGCCGGCGGCGCAGCAGCAGCAAAAGCGTTGGATAAATAGGTAGACAGAGGGGGATAGATAGAAGGACGGAAGGATAGATCGTTACATAGATAGGCCGATACATAGGCATCCGTAAGTAGTATGTACATGAAGCACAAGAACACAGCTTTATTCAATGCTATAGCCCCTAATCTGTCTTGGAAATGTTCCAACTGTAGACCCAGATACACGAGGACCTTTATTGTGAGGACCCTCTAGAAATTGAAGCCTTGCAGGACATGTTTAACCCATTTATGACTGTAGAACTCCCGTATGAAACAGCAGCAAACGCATTTAAAATTCCGCATTGGAGCGACTTGCCAGGTAGTGGCCCATGCGGTGCTTCATCCGGGCTCGGCTGAGGCCAGAAATAGTAGAGCTGAGGGTTGAGTGTATGGTTCAGGCATTTGGGGGTGAGGCTGACGGACTCAGTGTTTGGAGTTGGGGATAACAAGGGTGTGGGGTAGGGTTTCGGGTTAAGTGGTTAGGGTTTTGGGGTCGAGGGTTTTAAGGGCATAGGACTGTGGGGTGCCGTGCAGGATTTAGGAAATCGGATGGATAGGTTTGGAGTGAGTCCGGCTGCTCCCGCCGTGGTGTTAGAGCTTGTGCCCACTCTGTAGGTTATTTGTCAGTGCATACAAACGTTTACCATGTTGATTGATGTGGTTGGTGGATAGGAGCAAGTAGGCCGGAGCCAACTAGTTTTTGTCTCAGTAGCTGTTGGGCTTAGTTTGGTCTTGTTTTCGTTGTGTTGTTGGATCCAACATCTGGGCCACCCTCTGGGATCTGAAAGCACCCAACCGCTTCTTTTGCTCACGTGCTCATGTCTAAACACTGCAGAGCGCAGTAGCGTTTTGGAACCCTTCACCACGCTGCTGGTAAACCCTATGCCCTAAACCATAAAGCTGGAACCCCAAACCCCTCGCCCGGCTTGTCCCAGTTCTCAGTGAGATCCGAAACCGTGATCCCTTACAGTGCCCATGTTGCTTATAGGTTAAAGCCTCTTTTGCTTTAAACCCGGCCGAAGGGCAGGCTTGGTCCTGCTCGCAGGTTGGAAACTTTGATGCGATCGACCAGGAGATGAACGGTTGATGATATAAATCCTGCACGACCCATAATAAGGAATATACCATGATTCCCGCAGTTTAGGGTCCTTTAGGTAATGCAGGATTTATATCATCAACCGAAGTAGCAGGGATTTGCGCACTTCTGCCCCCTGGAGTGAAGGGCTTACAATGCTACACGAATTAGTAGTACTCGTCGCTAGTCCTTTGGATTCCTCATTAGATGTATGCGGTATTACACCCACCCACAGCAGAACCCGATTCTAAGTCTTATGGCCCTTCCCCCAAGGGTCCAAGTACCCAATAATCATATACTCTCCAAAATCCTAACCTGCACAAACTACTATCCCAAAATCCTAAAACCGAGCACCTACTTATTCTGTCCTTTGGACCCTTGGGGTTTGTCCTCCGGTGCCCTCTGCCTTCTGCTGCTTAGATAGCTGCCAATGAGCTGGCAGATTTCGGGTTTCGGGTATTTAGGGTTTGGAGATTTAGGATTTCGGGTATTTAGGTTTGGGAGATTTAAGGTTTAGGGTTTGGGAGTTTTGGGATTTTTAGGTTCAGGGTTTGGGAGTGTTAGGGTTTAGGCTTTGGGGGTTTAGGGTTTTAGGGTTTGGGAGTGTTAGGGTTTAGGGTTTGGGAGTTTTAGGGTTTTAGGGGTTCGGTTTTGGGAGTTTTAGGGTTTTAGCAGGGTTTAGAATTTTATAGGGTTTCAGGTTTTAGGGTTTAGGGGTTTAGGGTTTAGAGTTTGGGATTTGTTTCTCCAGGGCGTACCATGGACCAAAAGCATGCCAGACCCCCCCGAAACCTTGTTTGGCTTTTGCTGTCAAAGAGGACGAGCTGTGAACATCCTGACCGGGAGTGAGCACGACAGAGACAGTCTCGAAAATGAAATGAGCGGGAGAAAAGCAAGACAATCCGCCGAGCACCTTGAATTCAGACCCTAAGGCACTAAGCAAGCCTAAACCCAAATCCTGAAACCCTAAAACTCCCAAACCCTAAACCCTAAAACCCTAAAACTCCCAAACCCTAAAACCCTAAAGCCCCCAAACCCTAAAACCCTAAAGCTCCCAAACCCTAAACCCTAAAACCATCAACATCGAGAGTCGCACCGACTCGCACCTCTGGGTCCTCGCCTGGTTTGTCCGAGTTTGCAAGGGTAAAAGGAGGGACCCTTAATAAGGACCCCAGGTATATACCCCTAATATAGCTAGTGTATACCCATTATGTAGCCCATTATAGGGTAGGGGTCCCCATTAAGGGTCCCTCCTTTTCCCCTTTGATCTCTGAGAACCTTGCGCTTCGAGAGTCGGGTTCAGACTTTGGGAGATAGCTGGAGCACGCGGCGCTTGGGCACCAGAACAGCATCCTGCGGAAACGGATCTCGCCATAAGGATTGTGCTTAACTATGTTACTTAGGGACGAAGTCTTTGCATTATGTAAGTTTCCTCAGCAACAGGAATGCTTGGACATCGCCAAGGATGCAAAATGCAGCCAACGTACTCAGTAGCCCCAAACCCAGGGACCGAAACATGAAAGCATGGGGACCTGAAGAGCAGACATGCCCTCTTGTTGGGTTTCGGGTTAGCGGTTTGGGTTCGAGTTTAGGGAAGCCTGCTGCAAAAAAAGGGTTTAGGGTTTAGGGTCTAGTGGTTTCAACAGGGTCTAGTTAGGAGTTGTTTTCACTTTTTCCTGTTTGCGGTCTTAGGGATCTTAGCTTACAGAAAAAAGCTATGACCAACAGTCTATCCCTAGGGCCTAGGGTACTGGGGATCCTCGGAGAGGCCCAACTTGCTCCCCAGCCTCGCTTGGTGCCGGCGCCAGAAGCCAAACTTCGGAGAGTCGGTCTAGTAGGTCACCGTATGCTTTAGTAAGCAGACACACGTTTCAGTGGGATCCCAGTCGGTAGGAACGCAGATGATGAAGGTGTCGATGTGGGTGGGAAGCCTTGCTAAGGTATGCAGTATCCAGTATCCCCGAGAATCATCTAGCCTGTTGTAGTTTGAGTGTAGCACTTTGTACATGGACCTTCATGCGAAGTGGCTCTGTGATACAACGCTTCGAGTTTGAAGTGTTCACTGGCCACGCATATTCTTTTGAAGCAGGCCAAATCAAAAAGGAGGTCAGAACGTATCCTCCGTACCAGACCTTCAAGATTGTTTCCGCTTCCGCGATGCGACTTATTTGTATTCGTGTTTGTCCACACGGAAGGAGGCATGTACTGTTGTCCTGATAGCGCCGGCATATGGTGTGCAAATGACACCGGTTGCTAGCCACAAGGCATCATGACCATAAGTCAGAGCTGACATGATAAAGCAGGTGGCACGCATAGGCAAAGAAGCCTGCACATCTTCTGGTCGGCTTATAATCTGGTATAAGAATATGGTTTTTCAAAAGTCTACGAACCTACCTCCAAGTAAATATCAGCTTTCTAGCGAAGAGGAGCCTCGCCCACTTCGCTGCAGGCAGTTTGTATTGGCACCTTTTCTTTCGTTGAAAAACCCTCATCAAGGCAGATCTGCACTGCAGCAACTGATGGTAATTGAATTAGTTGACCTTTTAAGTGTAGTAGTTACATTTGTTCGAAGTATTTATTTGACTTGTAATACAGGGTATACGAACTACTAGAATATAGTGTTATAATGTGGTAATCATAGATGGCATGCTAGTCTACGCCTGGGGCAAAGCTTGTGCTTTAGTGCTGTTCGTAGGGTTAACCGGCGCAATCATGGATCGAGAAGGCGGGAAACGATGAATAGGTGATTCATGCAGACCATACGGTTTAGGGTTTTGGGCATGTTCTTACAACACTGCCGCGATCGGCCAATTCAGATGATCAACCGGACGTAGCACGCACAGCGAAGCGCAATGGCGCAATTGCCTGGGTTCCGCCGCAGCATCCGACTGGAAGCAAGCTACCGTGTTTTGCAGGAGCGCTATGGATATGTGAGACAGGGGCTGGTTTGGCTTTGTTCATTTTCGGAGATCATGTCTGTGGCCGCAGTGCCTGCAGTCCACATGTCAACCTCCCCATTTTTCACCATTGCAGCTCTTTGTCTAATGTTTCTGCTCGCCTGCTGGCGTGCCGGAAGTGTCTCGGACGTCATATGGCAACCCGCTCATTTGCTGCGGCCGAAGAACTATTCCAAATTTGGCTGCGGGGCAAAGCAGCGGTCAAGCCGGACTTTTTTTGCTCTATCCATGGTGATTCGTTTGTCTTGTTCTGTCATCCTTGCCAGCAATATCTTCAACTGGATTGCGGATGACACCACGTGGCGATCCTGTGAAGCGTTTTTCCTGCCATGGGCGGAATATACTCGCTCGGACATGCATGCAGATTCGAGCCTTTGTGATGCTGACCCTCAGATCAGCGAGTGGTGTGAAGCTATCCGTTTGTTTGAGAGCCGCTGTAACGATCCAGTTCGGTTGACATCCCTACTGCACTACTACGCTTGGACCGGACTGGGCATGGAGTGCACCAACCACACAGGCGTCATCAACGTCACGGCAGTCGCTGAGTACTTCCCTTGGTATCTCCCGTACTGTGAAACGCTCAACGGTACAGAAATCGGCTGCTACGCGTTAGAGGACGAGAACTTGGAGGTTGGAGAGAAATTGATCATTTGGACAGATGAGAAGGAAATCGGCCTGAATGAAGCGTGCGAAGCGTGGCCTCAGGCATTGCGTGTTATCTACAACTGTCAAATGTTCTTTCATGACACCAACTACTGCCAAAATGCCTCGGACACTTCGGCTGGTGCCACCAAATGGGATAGGCATTTGGGGCAGTCTTGTGAGGCCCATCGCTGTGTGGATTTTCTACCCGATTGGTTGTACTTCTTGAATGATGTCGAGAAAAAGATGTATTGCAAATGCCAGCAATGCACGCCCTGGTGGAGATTGAATGAGTGCACTTTGGAGGCAGTGGATACGGCCACGCGCCGGATCATGGAACAGCCATTGATATATGGACTGGACTGGGGTGAGGTCTTGTCGGATCCACGATTTGGGGTCCAATTTGCATCTTGAACTTACTAGACTAAACCCTAACCCCTAAACTGCTGAGCCCTAAACCTTGAACTCTATAGAGGTGTTTTTCCGCACGTTGACAAGATAGTGAGTGAACATTGCTGGATCGAGGTGCGGGATCTTGGGCTACATGGGCACGACTGTAGGTCCGGTTGCTTTCCTACGTAAAGGATCAGGGGACTTAGTAGCTGGGGTTAAATATGAGGTAACTATACTTACAACTTTTCACCACTTATAAGCCCACTTAAGGTACTTGTACCTGACCTACTAAGTCCCATGATCCTCCAAGTAGACACCCCCGAGGTATTGGTCGTCTTCTGCATTTCTGGTCCTATCCTGTGGCTTTTGACGAGTCTGCTCTTCGGCATCTGTGCAGGAAACCCGTGGGCCGTGGCTTTTGATGTGGACATGCACCGGGCTATACAGAAAGAGGAGCTCGTGATTCAGGAGGAGCTGGCAGCCAACGGAAGTATCAAAACATGGTATGGCCCGTGTTTCAACCGGCTGACGATGTTGACAGAAGTGGGATTTTGCCTGGCCGACTTTGTCATGGATGTCCAAATGGTGCTCGTCTACTGCTACACCTACCACTACATCTTCGCAGCCATCCAAGGCTTCATGGCCCTGCGGAGCTTTCTTGAACAGGCGTGGCTGACCAAGCGAATTTTTCTTGGGGCTTCTGACAGACAGTTCTGCACTTGCACTCGTGGCGTGCCGTGGTGCCGTTCTTGCAGCCAGTGTAGCGAGATTTTACTGGCCAGTTGATCTTTCTTCTGATCTTGCCTGTGTAGTCCCATTCGTCTTGTTTCAACGCGAGCGTGTCTTACCCCGACCCGTATCTCATCGAGTTTCCATCGTTGTCTTGTCTTCTGATGTTCTATATATTATACAGTGTGATGGTGTCTGGCTCGTCCGGCGGAGCGCCGTGTGGTCTCCAATGGTGAGCCTGTGGCTCAGCTGATCCACCGTATCTTGTTTCCTGACCTGGCGCTGGGGCAGGAGCCCCCCTAAACCCTGCACCTTCGACCCGGGGAGCGTATTTTCGAGAAGCGAAAGCCTAAACCCTATAATAGCCCTATAACCTAAAAGGCCCTACAAGTTCATCTGCAACCACCTCGCAAGGGGGAGAGAGAAAGCTTTCGAGAGCTGCTTTGAGTCTGTGGAAGCCTGTGTCATTCACTCCGGGTCTGTATTCGAACAATAAGAACATGTTGTATTTTGTTATCATGTTTGTCACAAAAATCTGAATAACACAATATACTACAACGCGGCATAGTTATATGGGGCCCTAAGGAACAGCAGCACCGATACTTCAGTACTTCACTCTTCACCTGGGGTTCTTTGCTGCAGTGTTCTTGCACCGCACCCAGCCATGTAAAGATGGTTGCAACCCTCGTCGATACTTAATTTCGGACGTAGGTTTCCAAATTGGGCCTGCAAGCATCCTCCCATGCTAGAACGACAGCCGAGAGAGAGAGAGAGAGAGAGAGACGTTGGATCCTCCACGAGTGCAGGGAACCCTGAGATCCCTGAAGGTTCAAGGGTAGCCATGAGCACTGTTTAGGGTTTAGGGAGTTACGGACTTTGGACCACCTGAATTGGATTTGGAAGTGCAAACAACGGTACTTGCCTTGCTTATATAATATATAAACATGCTGACTAAGTCCCATGATCCTTCAAGTATGGAGATCAGGAAACATCAACAAGGGGGGGAAATCGACACCATCCGTTAGCCCGGGGCACTCGGTGGGCCTCATCCAACAGCACCCCGGGGAAGTGTAACGTGCGTGAACGCCCTACACCCCCGAAGCCCTAGTCCACGTTTTTTTCAAGCCAAAAGTGCAGAAAGAGAGAAGATGCCCAAGGGCAGAAACACGACATGCCGTGTCAGCAAGAAGTGCTGTCCCATGCGTGTCAATGCTCAGAGCAATGTGCCGGAGGTCCGGTTCAACACATAGTGTGGCATACCATGGTGACATGAGACAAACGGGCAGACAAACGGCACCAAGCAAGATTCTCCTGGAATGTTGGCACTGCAGTCCAGTACAGCAGTTCCCTTCTTAACACGTTCTAGATGTGTAGAATACAGGTCTGAAGAATGACTACAACATCCTCTTAAAGTGTATAGTAACCTAATGTCATGCAGAACTCGATGCCAATTATTATAGGGCCTCCATACTTGTTTCTGACGGACCGCAGGTGTTCTTCCGGGGTCTCCTTTCCTTCATTCGGGAGACGCGCCTGTCCTTGAAATCCAACTTACGGACAGACTATTTCGTGTCTCTGGTGCAGAGTGAGAAAACCGGAGAAGCCACTTTGTCGTTTCTTCTTCAAGTCTACACCTTCTTCTACATGGGTCAGGAGGTGGTGGCCTATTGGACAGCGGCGATCTCCTTGCTGATTAGCGCGCGAGGTCTCACACAGGGCTGCTACGTTCACTTCGATCTGGCTTTCATGACATCCGAAGATCGGCAGCCGATCCGAGATCTCCAAGGTGGTGATCCGGAGGTGGTGCAGACTTTCTCCTTTGTTCTGCCAGACCCCGAGGCACGCGTCCATCGCAAGAGAAATGTGCCTGTTCTTGCAAAGCCAGCACCAGCACCACCTATGGAGATGCCAGAGCGCTCCGGGGTGGACTTACCAACAGAGGTTCGGGCAGAAACTTGCTTGAGGTTGCCCAAGGAGGAACCAGAGCTGGCAGGACCACCCAATGCGGCCGACGCAGCCCCAACACCGCCCCAGGAGGTCCCGAAGAACCTTGCTCTGGATTTGCCAGGAGAGATACAGGAAGAGGCTGACGAGAAATTGCCCGAAGGCAGCTCCCTCAAATGATTCGTACATGGATCAGCTTGTGTCTTCCGACAGGTGCCAGCACAAATGTGCCCACCTTTGGTGTTGGCTTTGGCACGACCGGGTCTGTCAGTTCAGAGGCATGGTGCTGACATGGCTGAAGGTCAATGTAGTTCAGGGTATATAAGTGGTAGATATAGGTAAGATAGGATTTTGGCCGGCCTGAAGATCCATGCACGGACTGTTTTTCCAGACCCGAATCCAAGATATGTAAATGCCGTCGCGATTCTCAACCGAAGCTGTTGATGATCCGAAAGCCAGGCATTGCGCAGCGCATTAAGCGAAGAAAGCGGGCCGGGGCTCAGGCAAGTTCTGTGTACGTCGCTAAAATGACAGAGTGCTATGCTAAAGACTGCCATAATTAACCATGCTACAAGGCTCTCTCGGTCTCGTAGTTGGTGGGAAGAGGCCAGCTTGGCCTGATAATGTGGACAAGCAGGTGTCTGCCGAGAGCCAACGGATAGATGAGCACATCTGACACAGTATAGCCCAATCAAAGTGTATGTGAAGGCAGAGCTGCAGTCTCTAGCGAGCAAAGTGCGCTATCTTTGGTCGCAATTTTTAACAGTGCACGATATAGGAGCTTGGTGTTTTTGATGGTGGATGGTGTTGTGGCCATGGCCATGGGACTCCAAAGGATCTTCGTCAGAGCTCGACATCTTCTAGAAAGGATACACAGATTGAAATTGTAGCCTCGCAGCAAGAGGGTTCGGATGATAACAGAGTGGGCTGACTGAAGAGTTCGTCGCAGAGCTGCCTAGACGCTGCAAGTGCTCACATTGCGGCTCTCCTATTGACGTCTTGTCGTTACGAGCTGCCAGCTACTGAAGACAGAGAGTGAGAGAGAGAGAGAGAGAGAGAGAGAGAGAGCAGGAGATGGAGATGGAGAAGCAAAAGAGAGAAAGAGAGACAGCGAGAGAGTGCCGGTACGAATTGCTCTCAGTACTGATGTTCCACGTGTGGCTAGGACTTCTGCTGTTGCTCTACCTGGACACTATGAAATCCTCCTTTTCGGGGTTCCCTATTATGATTTCCGTTTATAGGTTACGTGGGGTTAGAGTGTAGCTGAGTCTAGCTGCCACAGGCGTCTGCCACACGAAAGGAGCTCTCTAGTGCTGGCGTAATATAGGGGTTTAAATAATTACTAGTACTGTTTGGGGGGGTTCCTCAATCAAATTGGTGTATCATGTGCCCCCAAACCCGATTCAATTTCATTGTTCAGGCCCCCTATATTAAGCCCTTATTACAAGCCTGATAGTAACCCTTAGGGACCCTTTCTGAGGAGCCCTTTGAAGGAACCCTATTCTAATTATCCAGGATCCTATACTAGCGCCTCTTTTCTAAGCCAGCCCTTCGCACCTCTTGAAGATGCTCTAGTGAAGTTGTGTGGCTTCAAGCTGCCTTGAGGTAGCCTACGTCTTAGCAGCTGAGTGGATAACCTTTAACGTTTTGGGTTTTTATAATCCTAGCATAAGTGAAGAAGGTCAACCTTTCTTTTTTGGGCTCGGGTACTCTGTTTCTAAGACTTAGGGAGACTCCTCAGCTCCGGCCCAGTCCGCCGAGAAGCAATTCTTGCACATGGGAAACGGTTGCAGACGCCCTGCCGCCGTAGTTGCGACTGGCTCTGATGCCCGGGCACCCACGCACCGGTTCGAGTTTGAGATCAATGGGCAGAAGTATTCCCTCGATGCTAAACGTTTCATGAGCAAACATTTTGATGTAGTATACTTTGTATATAGTATGATCTTACTGTAAGACGCCGCAAACAAGCACCAGGTGCCAATGAACAAGTGTTTGTGAAAAGTCTCCAAGAAACCGCCCAGGAGACGGTGATAAGCGACGTTGAGATCGAGACAGAACCGCCCTGCCAACTCTTCGGGGTGATCCCGCATGCTGTAGATGTCCCGCTGAAAGAGGGAGATGAAGTTCTGAACTTTACTATCTGCCTGCTGGGCTCCTTGGCGAAGTCAAGGTTCAAGTTTTGGGGCTTTGGTTCGACTGCCGGTTGGCAGTGGAGGCCTTCGATTCTCATACTTAGAGGATCATAGTGATAGTGGATCTTAGTGGCATTTCCTCGTCGTGGCCACTGCTACAACACGCGTGGTCCCCGCGACTTGGAACCTGTACTACCGCATTACGAGACCTCGGTGAAGTTCGAAAGTCACCATACAGCAAATGTCACACACCCGAACCTGAGTGCTCTGAGCTGCTCACAGACTCATGTGTGAATTGAACAGTAACATATCGCGGAAAAGCCGAAGAGGCGGCGTTCAAGGCAGGCTCCGTCTCATCAGCTGTCTAGACCTGCATGCGCTGGCATGCTTCGGAAACGCGCATGCATGTGTGAACCCTAATCCTCGACCCCGAGCCCTTACCCTCGCAACTCTCGCCTCTGCTAGCCCAAACCTTAGACCCACAACACAACTCCGAGCCCCAAACCTCCAACTCCCACCCCCAAGCGAGCCCGAAGCGCTGCAGTCCGAGGTCTTGAAGGTGGTCGGAAAGTCATTCCACGGCTCTCTGCCAAGGTCTTCTGGTTGCTTACGAGATCATTGGACTGTGTCACTGAGGTTATAAGGTTATAAGCCAGGCAACTATATACTTATCAGCAACTTCTAGGCAGATTTCAAGTATATACTTAGGCAACTATACGAAAAAGAAACGTCTAGGCCGATTTCAAGTACCTATATAACCTTACTAGGTCCCCTGAACCTCCTGATGAGGCTTAGCCTCAAGTGAAAAGCCTCTACGACTTCAACCATCGGCTATTGGGCCGATGGCCTTAATATAGGGGCCCAAAGCATCACCAATACCATTTTGGTGGCTCCTCATAGTGATAGTATAGTCTACCCCGAAACCATGTTGAAATTATTAAGGCCCGCTCTTCAGTTTTAGGAGGGTTGCAAGGTGTAGGCTTTGGGTTTAGGGTTTAGGGTGGGTGTAGGGTTTTTGATTTTGGGGTTTAGAGCTTAGGGTAGGTTTAGGCGTCTGGCCTAAGGGCTAGGGTCCAAAGCCTTGGGGTTTAATCTAGGGCCTAGGGTTTCAAGTCTAGGGCCTAATGTTTTGGGGGTCTTTTGGTAATTACGCACACTAATGGCCTTAGGTAAGGTGGGCCCTAGGGGATAATTTGTGCGTGAAGTTCGAGGGTTCATAGAGTTTGAAGGTCAAAAATTGGGTGTGGCTGGTCTTCGGATGGAACGAAGCCCTTAAGCCCTGAAAACCCAAAGCCGCAACATGTATCGGACCGCCAAGGACTTTGTGGGAAAGCTTGATACCAGATCGGCTGATGGCGAGGGCCATGAGGTGCCGGATTGGTCTCCCCACGATGGGGTTTAAGGTTTAAGGTTGAAGGTTTTTTTGGTTTTGGTCATGTCCGGCTCAGATGAAGATCCAGCGCTGCAGTCTGAGGCACTTTTGTTCAGACTGGTCCACGATATCGGTGGGCATTCAGAAGCAGCCCGGTGCTAGGTCTAGGTCCTTTGTTTGTCAGGTGTGGGCGGACTGGGAAAAGACCGGCAGAAGCAGCATCCGTATTGCTGGCTTCGATATCAATGCTTGTGAGGTGCCGGGTAGCGGCTACGACCATGAGCCAAATCTACCGGGAGAGTCGTGAGACGTGTTCTAAACCCTAAACCCCTAAACCCAAGCCTTAAACCCTACTGAGGGAAAAACACCTAAACCCCAAACTCTAAACCCAGAGCCATTTTAAGGGCCCTTTAACGGAAAAGGGCCTTTAACAAAAACAACAGACAACAACCCAGAGCCATCGCCCTAGGCGGGCTCATTGGGTGCTTGGTTTCGGGCCGGAGCCCGCCGTGTCACACCATCCCCAGCAGCAGCACCTGTGCCTCGAGAGCAGTGGAAAAAGCACGAATCGGTGGGTTTCAGAGATGTGTCGGACAATAATAAGGCCCTAAACATTCGGATCCTTAATAATTTGATGCATATGCATAGACAGACGGCTCCAACATTTGCCGTAGGCTTCATTTCCGGCTCCGTGTCAAGACGCTCCCACAAAGAGAACCCTCATGGGCTTGACTCGGTCGTACAGAATGCGGGTTTGGAGTATTGGAAGTTGGCAACAGGTTTGATGGGGTAGGGCCTTGGAGTCGTCAAGCGAAGTGCGCAGCGGTGATCACCAACTGCTCGACCCCTCGAAGGGAAGCCCGCTCATGGCGAAACCTACCCACCGCTTCGAGTTTGAGATCAATGGGCAGAGCTATTCGCTCGATACTAAACGCTTCTTGAGCAAACATTTTTCTGTGGTATGTAGTCGGATATGAACCAGCAACAAGAAAACTAGGCCCCAATGAATAGAGCTTGTGAAGGACCTCCAAGAAACCGCCCAGGAGACTGTGATAAGTGACGTTGAGATCGAGACAGAACCGCCCTGCCAACTCTTCGGGGTGATCCCGCATGCTGTAGATGTCCCGCTGAAAGAGGGAGATGAAGTTCTGAACTTTACCATCTGCCTGCTGGGCTCCTTGACGAAGTTCAGGTTCAAGTTTTGGGGCTGCAGGGACCCGGGGTCGACCGTGAATTGGCAGTGGATGCATTCGTTTCTCATACCCTGGCTTCATTATTGGGTCCTTCAGGGGTCTAGGGCCCTAACTATCAGGTCCTTAGAGGCATTGGGATACTTAGTGGCATTTCCTCGTCGTGGCCACTGCCACAACACGCGTGGTCCCCGCGACTTGGAAACTGTACTACCGCATTACGAGATCTCGGTGACATTCGAAAGTCACCATACAGCAAATATCACAGACACCCGAACCTGGGTGTTCTCAGCTGCTCAAAGACTCATGTGTGAATTGAACAGTAACAGAATCGCGGAAAAGGCGGTTCAAGGCAGGCTCCATCTCATCAGCTGTCTAGACCTGCATGCCTCTGCATGCTTTGGAATCGCGCATGCATGTGTGCGCACACACCCGAATCCTCGACCCCGAGACCCCGACCCTCTCAACTCTCGCCTCTGATAGCCCAAACGATAGACCGACAACGCAACTCCCAGCCCCAAACCTCCGAGCCCGACCCCCACACTCGCAACCCTCAAGAGAACCCTAAGCGCTGCACTCCGAGGTCTTGAAGGCGGTCGGAAAGTCATTCCACGGCTCTCTGCCAAGGACTTGTGGTGAGGTCTGGTTTATAAGTTAAACGGCCATGTGCTGAAGCCCTGAACCCTGAAGCCCGAAAACGCTTCGGGCCACCCAGGACTTTCTGGGAAAGCTTGATACCTCCTACGCCGGAAGCACATCGGCAGATGGCGAGGTCCGTGAGGTGGAGGATCCGGGTCTGCCATCCTTTGGGTTAGGGTTAAGGGTTGAGGGTTTAGGGTTTAGGGGTTTATGTTTTAGGGGTTTAAGTTTGGGGTTTAGGGTTGAGGGTTTAGGGTCCCCAGGTTGGGGTTTAAGGTTTAGGGTTGAAGGGTTTTTTTGGTTTTGGTCATGTCCGGCTCAGATGAAGATCCAGCGCTGCAGTCTGAGGCACTTTTGTTCAGACTGGTCCACGATATCGGTGGGCATTCAGAAGCAGCCCGGTGCTAGGTCTAGGTCCTTTGTCTGTCAGGTGTGGGCGGACTGGGAAAAGACCGGCAGAAGCAGCATCCGTATTGCTGGCTTCGATATCAATGCTTGTGAGGTGCCGGGTAGCGGCTATGACCGTGAGGACGAAACTTGATAGCCATCGCCACAGGCGGGCTCATTGTGGGCCATGGTTTCAGGCGCTTGCCTGCCGTCTCACACCATCCCCAGCAGCTGCAACCTTCGAGCAGCAGGCAGGGCTGGAAGAATCGCGAATGAGTGAGTCTCAGAAATGCGGAGAGCGTTATAATCAATATCGACTCCAACCACACCTCACTAAGTTGATGAATATGCATAGACAGACCCCTCAAAATTTACCCTACGTTTGATTCGTTTGATTTCCAATTCCTGGTCAACCCCGATGGGCTCGGCGATGTAGGGCTTTTTGGGTTAAGGCATGTGGACGTGAAGTAACAAATGCAGGCTTGGAAGTTGGCCACAGGTTTGAAGGGTTTGGGCCTAAAGAGGCTTTAGGAATGAATCGAGGTCTTAGATTGCAGAACTGGAGGAGCTTGTTAGGTTCAGGAATTGGGGTGTAGATTCTCCGAGTGGGCAACTGGGTGGAAATATGGAGCATTTGACAAAGACAGGCTCAGAACTCAGAGCTACAGCTTGCATTGATTTTCTACGACATGTCATGGCTGCTTTTCTTGGTCAAGTTGTCGCTGCCAGCACGGATATTCTGAGGGCGGAGTGAATGAATCGTTCACAGTGACGGGTAGACCCTGAAAGCCTGCGAAGCAAAACAACCCCTAAACCCTAAACCTAGTAGAGGCACGCCAGAGACCTGCACGAGCAGAGAAGGGCCACTGCTTGTTAAGAAAAAAGGCTTAAACCCCAAACCCCAGGCGAACAGCCTCAGCCTAAACCCTAAACTCTAGACTCGAGTGCCAGGGGAGGCTCAGCAGATGCGGATAAAGATTCCGTGAAGGACAGAAGTATGCCTGAACGAAAGTTTTCGGGTGACGCGCCGTTTCCTTTGCTGCCCTGGCTTCGTTGTGTAACACATTGAAGTCGGGAGCTGATGAACTCTGAGTGACTACCCAGAGGCTCCATAGTATTTCCTTTTTGGGATTACGGTATAGGGCTCTATACATGAACCCGAGAAAGGAACAAATTATGAAGCCTCAGGGTAAGTCAACATGATGCTTATTGCTGCGGAGAACATAATTAGCTATGAAATCTTATTAGCTCTTTCAACTGTTCAACCAAGACTCCCTGCAACGCGGGTCTCGTCCTTGCTAGGTAGGAGGGAAAAAGGCCTCTAGACCCTAATCCCTAAACCCTAACCCTAAACTCTGGACCTTGAAACCTTCAACCCTGTACCCTACTTAAAGGATCATGGGACTTAGTAAGTAGGTCATAATTGGGGTTATGAGTCGTTTAAGTTAGGTTATCCTAGTTATAACCTACTTATAACCTTACTTACTAAGTCCCATGATCCTTTAAGTAGACCCTAAACCCTAAACCCCATAGATCCCTTTAAGGATCCCTATAGATCCCTTTAAGGAGCCCTTTAAGAACCCTTACCAAGTCCCTTGAGCCTTTGAGTAAATCCTAAACTCCAGACTGCAGCCTAGACTCGGCCCGAGCTTGACAAAACAAGGGGATCGCCGAGTAAAGGTCTGCAATGCAGAGCCATGCAGCTCGGCTCCGGTCAGTAGTTGAGTAGGTAACCCTCGACGAGGTATCGATTTTGGGGATAAGTTTCAGGTTCCCTTACCGTTTAGTGCAGAGCCCTAATTTCACAATTTTAGGGACTGCTGGAACCGACATCCAGTTAACTTTTGGGGGGGGCATTATAATCCCCACATATTTCCAAAGGTTGTCAAAGTTCGTGCCGCTGCGGTATATAAGATAGGTTTTTATACATAATACTTATACACGGTGCCTGGAGTGGTTAAGTGTTCAGGGGTCGTGGTTGAGGGTTTCTGACTCAGGGTTGAGGGTCTCAGGCAGGTTACGGTTTGGGGATTACGGCTGAGATGTTGGGAGTTTGACATTTGGAGTTTCGAGGTGAAAGGTGTTTCTAGGACTCTAGCCAGTTGAGTTGCTGTGGGATTTACGCTTGCATTGGCCCAGGCATGGGTGCAGCAGGATTATCATGAGTAGAACACCTTCACGTCGTCGAGAAATTGCGGCTTCGTTGAGTATTTGCCGGGCATTGTCTTCGGATCCCTTTCATGTTTTACCCCAAAGAATGGGGCGCTCCACGTAATAACTTGGTGTGGAGGACCTGGTACGTGTCTCGCAGAAGCACCCCACATTGTCTAACCGAAAACCAAATCATCAAAAGAGTAGTAACATCAACCACGATAGAATAGTATCCCGTAACATGAATGACAGCGAGTGTTTGAAACTACAGAAAACGAGCAAGGAGCAGGAGTAGGTGTCGGAGGAGTAGAGGAGTACGAGAAGGAGTAGGTGGTGGAGGAGGAGGATGAGGAGGAGGAGGAGGGGCGGGAGGAGAGGGGGAGCAGGAGCAGCAGTAGTAGTAGTAGTAGTAGTAGTAGTACTAGTACGAGTACGAGTAGTGGGAGCAGTAATCTTAAAAAGCAGCAGCGGCAAGGAGAAATAGTTTCACGGCAGTAGGGTTACGAGTAGGGGTGGGACGCCTGGGGCGAAACACTATGCAAGACTTGGGGAAGGGGGTTTCTTTCTATCAGTGTGACTCACAGTGTGACCGTAAGTCACAGGCAGCCCAAACAAAAACGCCCCGAACCTCGTAAGCCCTCAATGCCACAGACCTTCTCATAGGATTCTATAAGCCCCAAACTCCTAAACCTCTTAAACCCTGAGCCGTCGAGCCTTGTACTGTCTGAGGAGAGAGCCGCAGCCGCCTGTAGAGCAAGATGTGACCGAAGCTTGCCTTAGAAGAGCTCGCAATGGCTCGCCAACTTAGACGTGTTTTTTGAGAGGGGAGGGGTGTAGGGTTCAGCTTTTGGAGGTTAGGGCTTCAACGGTTAAGGAGTCTGTTCTTGTTTGTTTTGTGTGTGTTTCTGAGGGGGTGATGGGGGATGGGGTTTGGGCAAAGACTATGGGGCTTGGCTTCAGGGGCTGTCATCCCTGGAGATCAAGCAGCAGCGGTCCAAGGGTGTGTCTGTGCGTGTGTGTGTGTGTGTGTGTGTGTGTGTGTGTGCGTGCGTGTGTGTGTGTGTGTGTGTGTGTGTGTGTCTGTGTGTGTGTGTGTGGCACGAGTTTTTTTCAGACGGGCGCATATAAGTAAGTAATGTCGTTGCATGTTACAGTACAGTTATTTGCCTGGATGCGCACAAGCACCTCCCTGTTACACCTCCTGTATGTGCAAACAAAGCTCCGAAGCCATTACAAGCTGCTCTGCTAAGCTGGGTGTCCGATACCCCCGAAACCAAAAGCCTTAAACTGCAACCCTGGAATCCTCGCCGTGGTTTGTCCGAGAGTGAGTGCTGAAACTGCAACCCTGAACTCTAAGCCCTATACCTGGCAACGGCAAATCCTAAGCGGCAAATCCCCAAAACACCCCGGGTTCAGAGTCAAAAGGGCCTAAGCACCCTTAGCGCAACGATTCTAAGACAGCAAACTTCGGCATGCTCGCGAGACCAAGGCCCTCGAGGATTCGGTTTGCCGTGAAGACGTCGGCTTGCTTGAGCTTGAGGCTATCGGGGGTGGGTGTTGGTATAGGGTGCTCACATCCAAAACCGCGAAACCCTAAACCCTGATCCCGATATATGTGGCTCCTCATCGCACGGGTGTGATTGAGATTCGGCGGTGGTTTGCATTTACGCCCTAAGTGGCCCTAAATCCCTAAACCTTCTGATCGAGATTCGGCGGTGGTTAGCGTTTATATGGGAGTTTCCAAAAAGAGGGACCCTGATATGGCACCCTACATAGAGTCAGCATATACCATTTCCATTTTCTTATCTAGCACCCCCCATGCCCAAAATCCGAATACACTTACCAGAACCACCCCAAGACCCACTAGAGGACCCACCCTAAAAAAACCATTAGATGACCCGCTTTAGGCCATTCCAATCCCCCATACCCGCACCCCTGCCCTGCTACTGTATCATGGCTTGCCGCGTTTCGTTTCGGCGTTCATTAGGGTCGACGAAGGGTTGTAGGGCTGTAGCAGCAGCAGAAGATAACCCGCAACGCAATTTCAGTCAGTCACCAATCCTTTCAAGCCATGCAGAATCGAATTCGAAACTGGGCAGTGGTTCAGCTTTCATGGCTTGAGGTTTACAGAGGAAGTGGCCCAAGCTTGCCAAGCATGCCTGGCTGCAGAGATTGAGGCTCAGTGGTGAAAGGTTATGTAATTTGGATCCAAGGTAAAGTAGCAGAGGAGGCGACACATGTACAGTAATCGTACAGCAATGTACCGAAGCAAGTGGCTGCCCCGGCATTCAAACACAAACACACACACACACACACACACACACACACCTACACCCACACCCGCACCCACACCCACACCCACGCCCACACGCACACCCACACGCACACCCACACACACACACACACACACAGGCACACACACACACACAGACACACACACAGACACACACACACACAGACACACACAGACATACACAGACACACACACACACACACACAGACACACACACACACACACACAGACACACACACACACACACACACACACACACACCCAACACACACACACACACACACACACACACACACTCAACACACACACACACACACACGCGCACACACACACACACACCCACACGTACGCACACACACAGACACACAGACACACAGACACACAGACACACACACACACACGCCACCACCACCAACATCAACAACAACAACCACAACAACCACAACAACAACAACACCAACAACAACACCACCAACAACAGCAACAACACCAACACCAACACCACCACCAAAAACAACAAAAATAATAACAACAACAAGAAGAATTAGAATAGCAAGAAGAAGAAGAAGAGACCGGAGCACAACAGAATTGAGCTGTGCGTACACAAGTTCGGCCATGAGAGCTGGGGCCGAGACTCCCATAGGCCTCCCATTACAGCAATTGCCGGAAAGACCGGCCGAATCAGCTCTCGAGGAGGACAACCCAGCACA